ATGTACATTTAACATGACGCTGGAATTGCTCAAACTGTACAAATAAAAGATACTTACCCAAGTACAGCGTTACAATAGTATTTATCATGAATGCAGTTTTTTTCACCCATAAATTGGCGTTTCTACCCTCAACGAGAACGCCTCCTGTTTTTACCTTACGTTCCCTAACTATCCGTCCATAGAAGATAGAAACATACTTTTTTTTTCCTTGTACAGCTGAGACTTACCGATTTCCGACCATATTTCCGTCATTATCCTACATCGCGTGCCCGCTGCATGAAGACCTAGGGAAACGAGTGTCCAATAGGAACTTTTTTCCACTAAACCCATGCTCTGGAATTGCTCAAAGTGTACAAATAAATGATACTTACCTAAGTACAGCGTTACACTAGTATTTGTCATGAATGAAGTTTTTTTCATGTCCAAATAATTGCACTTACAGCAGTAGACCTATTACTGTGTTGAAAATACTGAAGGAAGTAGGCAGTACAATATTATTTATGTATTTATTATTATTATTATTATTATTATTATTATTATTATTATTATTATTATATTTATTCATAATGTATTCATTTTTATTAATTTTATTTATTTTTCTGAAGAGAACATGAGGTAAAAACGGGAGGCATTCCAGTTAAAGGAAGAAACGCCCATTTACGTTCCGCAGAATGGCGATATTGGATTGTGCTGTTATAGCGCTCTGAAGGTGGTGTGACTTAAAGCAGAGAGCAAAGGGTGAAGAGTGTCAAAAACAAAAGTTAATATGTTGTTTTTGGTGAATATAGCGTTTTCGAAACAATAAAACGTAACACGGCGATGTAAATATGTTATGTGTTGGCAGTTATACCCCATAGAAGTAAAATACCGTCTCTTTAATATTAATAGCGAGCAAATATTGACAGTGATGACAGGTGACGTTTCTTGCTCGAGGACACAACAGAAGTACACATTTGGAAGCAGAGATTAAACAACTTTAATTTGTCTTTATAAACTGATATAAAAACAAATCAAAGTGGTTTAATGCGATCGCTCTTCCAAACGTCGCCATTACCAAATATGAATTCTGATATTTTCATTTCCTCTTTTATGTGCAGTATGTCCGATTTTTTACTACCCCAACATTTGTTAAAAAATGTCAAATCTGACTCGGTAATATTTTGGTTTCATGGTTGTAACACGAGTCACGCTGCGTAAAATCAACATCCCCGGAAAAGAAAAGTGTTCGGTGGTTTATGCGGGCCTCGGAGTACAGCCGTGTCTTAATTAAACCCCAAACAGCTCTTGTAATTCTCAAAGTGATGCTGTAAAATAAAAAAGAATTGTCCCAAAAACTCGTATCGTTCCGGCTGTAACCAATACTCGTAAACTGTGTGATTGGGAAACAAAGATCGGAGCTTGTAAAACGTCTCTGTCTCTCTGCATCTGCTCATTTAAAGGTGCACTGTGGAACTTTTCCGGTGGAGAGTCCATCACCTGCTTGTTTCTGTGGAGATGCCATTGCTCTGCTTATGTTCTAAATTAAACAGCTCTGCCTTACATTTAAACAGTTACAGGTGGTTTTATAGCTCAAAAATACATCAAAAAACAGACATTCTGACTGTGAGCGGGTTACCTCTCCACAGACCTGACCTGTAACTTGGTCTGGTTTGGTCTCCATGACGATAGAAAGTTTTAATACCATACTGTGAAACATTCCAGACAAAGCAAAAACATCTTCATGAAGAAAAGCATTTGACTCACCTTCCTCTAGAAAACTTACACAATGCGCCTTTACCCAAACCTCTCCACAGATCTGACCTGTAACTTGGTCTGGTCTCCATGAAGATAGAAAGATGTAACCCTTCTAGACCAACAGTATCGTATACGATAAGTGGGAATATGTTTTATATAACTGTACATAACTTTCTAACCATAAAAGATAGAAACATACTTTTTTTTCCCTTGTAAAGCTGAGACTTACAAGTTTCCAAGCATATTTCCCACATTATCCTACGACACACGCCTGCTTCGTGATGACGTAGGAAAACAACTTTACGCTCGATCCATTTTGATTGAGTCAAACTTTGCCAAAGAGTGTCGAGAGTCAAACTGGTCGACTGCCCTGAGCGTCTGTGTTCGTAATAACTGAAAAAGCCGCTCTAAGTGCAGCTATTTCTCAAATAAATGGCAAATTACACATCTTGGTCTGGTCTGAGTAACGGAACATCCCCCTGTTTATTTAGCTCAAAATGTACAACTCCAAATGTAATAAACACCATGGGAATGCAGAAAGTGATGTGTCTTGGTGCCCTGGACCTGACAGGAACTGTTTCCATGACTGGCACCAGGAAAGTCATGGGGCCATTCCGCTTTTTTGTTTGTTTTGAGGCAATAAGGGTATCTTTATTTTACTTACAGAATTGATATTTTGCACTTTTGTAGCTAAGACCCTAAATCAAGCATTTTTTATGTCCATAAAGTTGTTGAGTGCCAGTTTTATTTTGCGTTTTTTGGGGGCTTGTTTTGGTCCTTTTTCTGGTCCTTGAGCTTTTATTACAGCCACATGACACAACTACAGCAGCAGATTGTGAAATAACAGGTTGTACTGAAAAAAAGGATGTATAACACTTCATTAGGGGGTAAAAGGGGGAGTTTTATTAGCAAAATTAATAAATAAATCCAGGCGAGGATGGATGTACTAAAATTGCCCTTAGGTCTGGAAGGGTTAAAGCCATACAAACATTTGACGGACCCTCCGCTACAAAAGTTACACAACGTGCCTTTAACCGAACCGTCACACAAATCAAAGACTCTAATCAAAATTTGATCCGTTAATTGATCTTTCCTCTTTGCTACGGCGATCCCCGCAGACTCCGACCCCTTCGCCCCGTCCCGCCCCTCCTCCTCCACCCCTCTTCCACATAAACTCTGTTCATTAGCACTGATCAAACACGGCGCTGATGCTAGCCGAGAGCGCCATGATGGCTGTTTCCGCACGGTTCTCTTTGGGTTGCAGGACAGGTCTCCCTCGGCGGATGTCGGCAGCACATTTGGGACCGCTCGGCTCTTTGAAACCGCTTAGACCAGTCAAACAATGCGCTCCAACTTTTACCTACAACTCTTTAACTCCTCAAAGCAACCCCGCGGAGATGTCTTCACCCTTTTGAATAATACGCTTGATGTGCCGGAAGGGAGGGCTTTTATCTTGGGAGCGGTTCTTAAAGGCGCTGTACCTAAATTTAACTTTAAAACTCGAAAAACACAGCTAGTTGGTGTTAAATGGTTCGCAGGGGTCCAAAGTTGTTCCTCGCTCACCTTATGCATTCACAGCATCGCAATCATCCATCACCATGAGTTTATAAGAGCTTTCCATAACTTTCAGAGACCAGTGTGGACTTTTTCCATCTTTTCTGTCTTTTCCAAGCAACAACAACTAGTATGCAAATGAGCACTTCCTAAATATTGACAATAAAGCTCTTTATGGCTACGTTCAGACTGTAGGGCTTAATGCTCGATTCGGATTTGTTTGTAAAATCAGTTTTTTTGCGCGGTCGTTCACATTTCCAGCTAAATGCGACTTGTACGTGATCTCCAGTGTGAACTTTAAACTCCCCAAAAGTGTCCCGCATGTGCGTCGGACGACACGACGACATCACACACAGCGAGCGTGCTCAGTGTTTACGGAAGCCGCTTAAACGTTGAGCTTGTCTCCCAGAATATGATCCACTACTTCGTAAAATGGACAGGGTACACGTCCACGGCCGCTTCGTTTGTTTGAGTCTTTAGCCTCTTGGTATTTGGCTCTCAGGCTCTTTATTTTTCCTTGACATTGGAACCAGGACCGCCTGTAGCCGCACTCAGCCATTTCTTTGGGAATCATTTAAAAAACGCCCAGTTTGGACCAAATACAGCGATCCCCCCCAAATATGAATGAACTCACTAACCTCACTTTCCCTCCGTTGACAAAACTCTGAGCCTGATGTGTAGGTGGATGAATGTGACCTGGCCGTTCAGACTGAACTCGCATGTCAAAAGATCGGATATGTATCAGTTTTAGGAGCACATATCCAAGTGATCTGGGTTGGGTTTGAAAAAACTGGATCTGTGTCATTCAGACTGTCATTAAAAGATCAGATACAGGTCGGATAGGGGCGAAAAAATTGGATTTGGGATTCAGGCTGCAGTCTGAATGTACAGTAGACATATTTTGACCTCAAGAGATGCTTATACAAAATATCTCTATCTCAGGTTTTGCTCAAATACATGGAAAAAAAATTAAGCACAGGCTCTTTAAACCTGTGTTCTCCATTGATTACTTGGTTGTATTTTCTTAGTTCTGATGTTGAGATATAATATACGTGAAATCACTAATTAAGGCATGAGTTACTTGATTTAAAATGGCATAAGTAACAGTTGTAAGAAGAACCAGTATTTTGTTGAAATATTGATTTCTTTTGCTCAGAAAAAGTTGAATTGCTGCAGTAGATTACCGTACCACAAACATTTTTTAATATTTTGTTGCTTTTCTGGTGTGAAGCTTTAATTTTGAGCTGCAATTATATGTGAATTATATGTTATTGCTTCCAAAGTTTGTACAGTTATTCTCCTGTAACTTCTGAGATCGCATTTGTTTTTCACAGGTTTTGCTATGTGGTTTTAAAAATCATAATATCGGTTTTGGTAAATGTTGGACAAATATTAGATGTCGATAGTTTACAGTTTTTGATTGAAAAGTTGTTATATTGCAGATTTGTTATGGTTTGTGAAAAGTGAAAAGTCAATTTATGATTTCATTGTAGTTTAATTTTGTTTAAGGGCTTTGTGATATGGATTTTAAAATTGTTTTGGCAAATATCGGTTGTCGGACACATCAGAAAGACAAATTTTTGATATCGTATTGACTCAAAAACTCCATATCAACCCGTCCTTAGTAATTTTTTTCCAGTTTCGATCTAACCTTTCGTGTTTCTCTTTTGTCTCCTCAGGGTAACCAAGAGGCCACCAACCCTCCGGAAGCCATGGCCCAGCCGTACACCCCCGCCCAGTACCCCCCTCCCCCACAGAACGGCATCCCCGCCGAGTTCGCCGCGCCACACCCACTGCCCACGCAGGACTACACGGGCCAGAGCCGCGTGCCCGAACACGCCATGACGCTGTACACGCCCGCGCAGACACACAGCGAGGCGCCCCCTACAGACACGCCCACGCCCAACACCACGAGCGCACCGGTCAGTGTCCTCCACCACCTCAGCACCTCATGCTGTCAGCAGCACATGCTCCAAGTACGAACGCATGATTACTCCTCCATATCCTCCATAAGTCACCACAGAGCCACATTTTGAAGTTACGCTTGAAGATTTGTGTTTATCTGAGGCCGTGTTCACACCTGACCTGGTTTAGTCCTGGTTTAGTCCTGGTTTATTTTTAAGTTAAGTCCTGATGTAGACTTGGCTTGGACCTATTGAGTCTTGGTTTAGTCCTGGTTTAGTCCTGGTTTAGACCTCTTTTTTTCTAAGTTTAGCCTTGATGTAGATTTGGCTTGGACCTGTTCAATCCTAGTTTAGTCTTGGTTTAGTCCTGTTAAGTCCTGGTTTAGTCCTGGTTTAGACCTCTTTTTTTCTAAGTTTAGCCTTGATGTAGATTTGGCTTGGACCTGTTCAATCCTAGTTTAGTCTTGGTTTAGTCCTGTTAAGTCCTGGTTTAGTCCTGGTTTGTTTTAAGTTCAGCCTTGATGTAGATGTGGCTTGGACCTGCTCCATTCTGGTTTAGTCCTGGTTTAGTCCTGATTTGTTTTAAGTTTATCCTTGATGTAGACGTGGCTTGGACCTGTTCAATCCTGGTTTAGTCCTGATTTGTTTTAAATTTAGACTTCATGTTGATTTGTCTTGGACCTGTTCAGTCTTGGTTTAGTTCTGGCTTAGTCCTGATTTGTTTAAAGTTAAGTCTTGGTGTAGATTTGGCTTGGGCCTGTTCCGTCCTGGTTTAGTCCTGGTTTACTTTTAAGTTAAGTCCTGATGTAGATGTTGCTTGGACCAGTTCAATCCTGGTTTAGTCCTGGTTTAGTCCTGGTTTAGTCCTGTTTAGTCCTGGTCCAGTACTGGGTTTAGTTCAAATGTTGATGTGGTGTTTGTGCAAGTGTGAACACAGTCTAAGATCATATGAACCTCTCCTGCATATTGAAAGGTCTTCTGCTACTTTAAAGTTTGTACATCTTACAGCAGCTCATAATGAAAAACTGCATGGCCAACAGCGGTTTGCTCTTTTGCTTCACAAAAATGTGTCCTTAATTTCTGTACAGAGAATGCATGTTCTCTGTCCTTAAGCAACTGTGTGTGTGTGTGTGTGTGTGTGTGTGTGTGTGTGTGTGTGTGTGTGTGTAAGCAGTCGAATAGTACGGTACATCCCATATCATTCTTTCCATAGTAGACTACCAATGTACATTTAATGGTCTTTTTTGGTGGTTTATAAGTTATGTTAAAGATTCCACATTACACTTTTTTCTGATCTGTTATAATGTTGTTTCCTCATCAAACAGATCTGGAGTTGTGTTTTGTTTCATCAACACATGCTTAGCACACAAACCCTGCATATTTAGTCTTTTAGTGTAGCTTTGAAGACCAGTGGTTCCCAAACTTTTTTTTTTTTCTGGAGACCCACATTTTCCCATATATTTCACAAACCTTCACGACCCAAGTCAATAGACATTATTCATAAATCACAAAATAAAGATGGATTTGAACATTAATGAGGATATTTTATAGCAAGGCTGGCGCCACCTAGTGCCTCCGCTCAATTTCATTTCTCTCCAGCGACTAGGTCAGGAATCGGAATACACTAGACGGTTTGCAAAAACATCAGAAGACCTGTGACGCCATGAAGTCAAAACTCAAGTGTCTGTCTGGGTCCCTTTTGTGGTACAGCACAACAGTAAACAAAGCGGTCGAGATGGATGTAGACGAATACAGACATTCTGTGTTGGGAACGATTACTGAGATTGAGGATTTAAAGCCAGAACAAAGAGAATGTTTGCTGAATTTTATCAAGGGGAAAGACGTTATTGCCCTTCTTCCTATGAGATTTGGCGCATTACATACATCACGACCAAATAGCAGCGATTGGTTAAATTAAAAAAGTACCCACCTACCGTCGAACAGGCAAATGAATCCTAATGCTGCAAGGCCAGACGGTTTCCATGAAGTGAAACCGGCTGAAGAATCAAGCCAGATATTTTATTGTTGACTGAGTGATTGTGTCTCTGTACAATTAGTATTACTCAAGTTTTAAACTATAAAAAAACAGTCTTTGAAGCAGCAATAAAAGGATCCATAAGTCACCTATTTGGACATTAAACCATTTCTTTTTCTTTTCAACATTCATTTGAACCGGCAATACTGGAATAAATTGGTCAATAAAGTAATTACAGATTAGAAATTATACAAAACATATCTTTACATTTTAATCAACATGGATACAAGCGACCCAAAAAAATCTGTAGCGAAGAAAATATCTAGTTTTTAAAAGGCTTGTTGGTCTGATTGTGAAGAGACAAAACATTTTAAAACCTCCTCATTTGAAGATAGCAGTGACTGTACATTGGGATATCATGGATCATAATCATAACATTTGTTGACTGAATCCTCTTTGTGTAATACGTCTGCTCTTTTTGTCTGGGCCTTTTGTTTTGCAGCCTTCATTCAGTGGTGCTGTTGGTGGAATTGTTCTTTAATCAGTACAGCTTTAAATTACTTATTGCTACTTATCTTAGATGATGTCTTTTTTTGTCTTAGTCACTCATAGTTTGTAGGTTGAAACGTTCCATCACAGAGCAGATGTGTTGCTATGTAGCGATCTATTTTGGAGTGTGCGTGTGAAAAAGTGCGTGTAAACCTGCTCTGTTTTATTCATGTGCTGGGGGGAGGGGGTCTGACAGACTACAGACATGAATGATTTAGTCTGTCTGAAAGCGGGACACGCCCCCCTCTACCCCCAACGCTGATTTACTCAAGCTAAATGAAAAATGCACTTTGAGGGACCCCGATTCAAACTGCCAACTCCAGTTATGAAACGCATTTGACCCATTTTAGATAGAAATGTACAGTTGTCAGAGTTTGAGATGGTCAGATGGAGCAGAGGATATCATTTTATTTTGGAATTTGTGTGAGTTGACTTGCTTGCTCAGTTTGGTGATATGTTTTACACAAGTGAGTAATTATGATGATGCAGGGGAGAGGGTCACATGGAGAAGTTCAGATGGAGTAGAGGATGTAGAGGAGAAGAGACGAGGGGGTCAGATGGAGCAGAGGAGAGGGTCAGACAGGGCTGAGGAAGCAGACAAGAAAAACAGGAGGGTCTGATGGAGCAGTGAAGGTCAGATGGAGCAGAGTAGAGGGTCAGATCGGAGGAGAGGAGATGGTTCAGATGGAGCAGAGGAGAGAAGCTCAGATGGAGCAGAAGAGAGGATCAGATAGAGCATAGGATGAAAAGAATGTGGTCATATGGAGCAGAGGAGAAGGTCAGATGGAGAGGGTTAGATGGAGCAGAGGATGAAAAGAAGATGGTCAGATGGACAAGATGATGCAGAGGAGAAGGTCAGATGGAGCAGAGGATGAAAAGGAAAGGCTCAGATGGAGCAGAGGATGAAAAGGAGATGGTCAGATGGAGCAGAGGAGAGGGTCAGATGGAGCAGAGAAGGTCAGATAAAGCAGAGGATGAAAAGAAGGTGGTCATATGAAGCAGAGGAGGTCAAATGGAGCAAAGTAGAAGGTTGGATGGAGCAGAGGATGAAAAGGAGATAGTCGTATGGAGCAGAGAAGAGGGTCCTTTGGGATAGAGGATGCAAAGGAGATGGTCATATGGATCAGAGGAGAGGGTCAGATGGAGCAGAGGATGAAAAGGAGAGGGTCAGACGGAGCAGAGGAGAAGGTCAGAGGGAGCAGATGAGGCAGAGGAGAGTGTTAGACAAAGTGGAAGTCCCACAGCTCACACCTTCTTTAATCTGCCTACCAATGACCAACTTGTGAAATGGAATTAAACAGCCGAGATTGTCTGTTTCTATATATACTCTTGACCTGGGATTTACCTTACAAAAAGATGGATGAAAAGCTGGAAGTAGGTGTGTGGACGTGGCGAGGTGGAGGCAGATGAAAAAGCAGCGGCGCTTATATCTATGCATTAGCGAGAACACACCTGCAGGGGGGGTCACGCCGAGGCCACGTCCCCCCAGGAGAGATGTAGGTCAGCCATAAAGAACCTCTTAATAACTCCACTTTCACTGCCAACAATTACACCGGAACAGGAGGAGCGAAGGGGGGAGGGGGGGTGGGGGAGACAGGAGGGAGCGAGAGAGGGATGGAGCTTTGACGTTGATACAATCTGAGCTTTATGCATCATTTTCACATATACTGTCTCTCATTTACACTAGTTTGGTCTACTCTGCAAAAAAGAATATCTGCATTAGGGCTGCAAGTTTAAAAGTGCTGTACCTGATTTTTACCGTCTTAAAAAAGTGAAAACACAGAACTTCATTTTAAGTAGTTTGCAGAGGTCCAAAGTTATTCCTGGCTTACCTTATGCATTTTGAGCATCCCAGTTGTTCACCGCAATGAGTTTGGAAGCACAACAATGAGTACAGCTCATATACATGGGAAGAAAGCTGGTAGGGCTTTTAATAAAATCATAATTGCAACTGTAGTGGTCACAAAAGGCAAAAAGCAAAGATTGTATAGTAGGTATTTTAACAGTAATTATTATTCAAAGTTCAGTTCAGTTCTTCTTTATTCCAGACTCATGGTGCAAGGACAGTGACATTACAAAACAATAAACATTTATGTTTTTAAAAGACAACCATACCAGTGTCTCCACATATTGGACTGATATCTTATTGCACTGAATCTCAAATTTGCGACATTATTATTTTATTGTCCGATTTGTTAAGTCTGCAAATAAAACTGTACATTAAAATTCTTAGTGTAAAATGATCACTCGTGCAGAAACAAAGTTCTGAAAAATAACCCTGTAGTTTAAACCTCCACAAACATAAAATGCTTAGGCTTCCTGTATTAGCAGTTTATATTTCACTCTTATCTTAAAATCTAAAGCTTGTGTGTTTAAAATGTAGATTGTATAATGAATATTGATTACTAGTTGGACAAAAGATAATCAAATTTGTTCATCTTGAATGTAGTTTCTTGGTAGTTCTCAAACACA